TGTAGAAACGCGAAACATGACAAAAAGGGGGGAGATGATGGGAGAATCGACGCGGAAGACACGGATGAAAATTACCTACTATTAAATAGGCCGTGTCAACAATATTCGCAAAACTATAGAAATTGCCCAGCAGATTAGTTTAAATTCTGGAGCTTGGCAACAAGGCCAGAACTGACTGCAGATATTTGACAGTGTGTTTGAGGGCAGAACATAAACCATGAAAGTGGTTCCCCAGTTGGGCATTCACGATGATTATCTGCATGCCTCTAAGGAAAACTTCGAAAATTACGGTTGGAGACAGCCTGTCAATATAAATTGTCCATGGACAAAATGGAATTGGGCTGTCAAATAATTAACCAGATTAATTCGCCGTTGACGGTGTGCATGATGACGAAAGTAGGAGCAAGTAGTAGAAAAAATTCTCATAAATTGTTTCTAACGCCCACATAAACAGCACATCACCTTTACGGTCGGTCTGAAGAATTCATAAACTACAGATTAAAAATAAGCCGCGCAGTGACGACCTAGAGATGAAGTAAGTGGCCGGGACAACAACAGCTTAGTAGTTCTAGTTTCCGACGGCTGATAACACTGCTAGATATGGACTAATTATCGAAGCCCTTATCCTCTCTCTCTCTGGTCTCTAGGTATGACTAGAATCTGCCCCCTTGACCCCGGAACACCTCTCCTCCCAGTTACTACTGATTGGTTGTTTGAAATTTTGTTAACTCTACCCTCATATTATTTTATTTGCATTATGATGAATGATTGAAAACATTCGTCCGCCTAACTTGACTCCTAGATACAGTTATAAGCCTCGCAAATTCAAGTGTAAGCTTTAAAAATGGTCATGCATTTACAGTGAAATATTTTTAAAGTCAGTCTTCAACATCAGAAGAGCAGCACTGAAGTGGGAAACGTGAGAACGTTCAACGGCATCTAAGAACTTCCACAGGCTTCTAAGTGTGAGGAAACGATTAAGCTGAATGAAAGTTACGACAGTTATCGAATAAAGTGTTGGCAGTGGTTTACACAGAGCAGAGCTTTTTTCTGTAGCAAGTTAGACAAGACGAGTTCTCTGACGGTATGCAGGAACTCGAATGAAAGATGATTGGTGTTATTTTACGTAAAAAGGTGTATCAAATAAAAATTTGATCCAAGGAGAGAGACGGTTGTCAGAGGATAAAGCTAATATGACGTAACGCAACACTTCTCCGGGAGCGAAGGTGGACTACTTCGGATATCACAGCTGGCCATAAAAGTGGGCATGGAGGAAAAGTCCGACTTCCAGTAAAATCTTTCAATGCATAATTAAGAGACGTGCATTATCGAAAGGCAACCTTTAAATGTGATGAATTAAACTGAATTAACAATTAGTTAACATGCACGGATAAGGACTCTAAAATTAACTTTTATGCCTTTCATCGAAGTGAAGACGATGAAGACTGCAGCACAAAATGTTGGATTCATATGCTTTTGAATTGGCTCATACATCTAGCCAACAGCTGGTGCTTGATTGACAATATAAAACGTCCTGAACTTACCAAACCATATGCCCAACTCCGGTCCTCAACGGTTGTCACGTCGGAGACAAAGGCCAAAACCACAGAGAATGTTACAGAAAAAATGCCGGATATACTGATCATGGTGAAGTACCACCAGTGGCTGAGTTTTATAAGAGGGATTGGCGAACACGTAAAAGTCACGGTGAGGAAAAGGAACGGCTTTCGGCCAAAAATATCAGACATGGATCCTATTAAAGGTGCGCTGAGGAAAGACAAAAATCCTTTAATTCCTTGGATGATTCCATTCATCAAGAAAGTGTTCCTTGGGAATGCTTCATCAAGAACCTTCAAAAAATAAGCGTAAGACAATAGTACCGATATCATAGGAGCTGTGATTAGACCAAAGGCGAAAAATTCCAAAAAGATAACAACGGCTGCGTGGTAGACGGTTGGGGTTGCCGTGCATCCAAAAAACTAAAAGAAAAATTATGACTATAATAAAGGTTACATTTGTCTTTTTGTGGTCTGAAGATTGACATTTCTGTGTTCTCAAAGACATTATGTCTTAACAATCGCCACAGACGAATGCAACTTCGCAATTGTGCCAAATCGCCACTTTGATTTTTCCGCCGCAAGGCTACTTCAGTAAAATCAAAATAATTGCACCACACTCTTCTCGTTTGTTACTGTATGCGTGTACCGAAATTCAACTTCAACCTGCTGTAATTTTTCCTTCTGATCCTAATGCCAAACCACAAATCCATAAATTCAGATATGACCAACTTGTGTTCAAGCCGTATCCATGACCAGGGGGAATAATAAGGCTTCTTGGTGAGGCTTAGAAAAAAATGCCGTCAGCTTCGAATTGCTTGGGTCAAGGCTTCTGTCGAATGGGCAGACTATGTACGAAACTACCTCCTGCATCGATGATGTTCGATGGGTTTTCTTAATCCGTCTTCGACGTGACGACTCCATCACCATGATAATCCATGTGCGCCGCGAATCCGCCCGGAGATTTCTCCTCCACGGTTTTGAATACTGGGCTTTGCGTGTGAGAGATGGTCGAAAACTGGAAGTTTTTGACCATTTCTGCCTGAGGACAATTCTTCAAATGAAGAACACCGACTATCTAAAATAGTTGTTTGGACTTCATCCACCTTGACGAACTCAGGGTTACTATACTTGACATGGCGCCACTGCCTGCCTGCTGGTTTAACAGAATAGAGCAAGCCAGCGTCTGATGTAACACAGTTCGTTTGGCCAGAGAAGCGGCATTTTGACCGTCAGCGGTCGGTCTCTGTCACTGAAGAAGAGAAGGGGTCGGGCCTTCCAGGACCCACGAATTCTTTCACACAATTCAGTTGGGAAAGTTTACCATTCTGCAGCCCTACCATTTATTCCTACCAAGCCTTTATTTTGGAGAGGCTGTGGAAACTACTTCAGTGTCCTCTGCGTTGGCGCCTCTTTGCCAGTCAACGACAATTTTGCAAGTGTTCCACTGAAGCGCGGCTACCCATCATGCTCGAACATAGCTGAGTGACAACAGAGCTCTTACCTGTGGAATTCTTTTGTAGATCGTTCGGAGTGGTTATGTAACGGGACCAAGTTTCACTGTGCATACACTAAACAAGGCGGTCCTTTGAAGCGGGAGTGATAAGCGTGCGCTTTGCTTTTGTCTTACAGGAGAAGACGTGCAGAGTACCACTAGAAAGTTGGAACTACTTTTACGTACCCGCCCGTCGACTCTTTTTGTTCTATTCAACCTTTCTGTGGTTATGTTTGCTCTATCTCATGCACTTTGATATTTTTCGTTTATAGTACAGTGTTTCTATACTGGTCGGTATTCCGCACAGTACCAACTTGTTGAATTCCGTAATAAAATCATGACTGATGTTGCTAAACGAATGGATTCCGAAATTAAGAACAAGTCCCTGACATACGAGGTATTCCAAGGAACCGACAATCACTGGAAGTTTCAAGAGCGGAGATGGCCCAGCTACTACAGTGGTGTCAGCTACCCTGTCGAGCCCAACAGCCACAAAGAACCGGTTATGATCAGATACCATTCCATTACCACCATATAACAGCGCAGGAGGTTCCCTGTTCTGAAAACGGAGGGTGGAATTCCACCCTAAGAAGACAGCTAAATCCAAACAATCATGTGTGCCTCTTTTTTCACCCGGCCGCCCCCATCTAGCTAATGCTCTTGATACTGGGTTATCCGCTGAAAGCCCCTTTGAGGCTCTTTGTTGCAGTTCGTCATATTTATTCGGCCAAAGAATTTTTTTAAGTTTCGCAATTCTACACCTAAACGACCCTCCGAGACAGCCTCCCAGTTGGTTGAGGAAATGGACCGACTAACGACTGCGACTTCCCCACCGTTGCCGTAGCTGACAAGGGTAATCATATCCTTCATTTTCTTTCTGCGGCCCTTCCGGATGCTAAACTTTCACGTTCGCTAATACCGAATCCTCCAGGGGACCTTCCGGAGGTGATCGAGAGTGCTTATAGTTACATGCGGTTTTGATAAGCCGCTCAAGCGGAATCACACCAGTTAGCTTCTAATTCTTTGCCTTGTTCCGGCCCGAGTTCATGACGATCCCCATATCTGCCTCCGCGGGGTTAAACTGCTTCCCTTATCATAAACGCGGGGGGTCTTTCCGTAGGAGTTTATATAATCCAGAACATGTCTCTAATGTTTGTACGTTTCATAACTCCCCACGTACGCTATTTAATACCTCCTGTAGCAACCAAAATACGAATATTCGCTCCTTTATATACCCTGCTATTTATGTATAATCGAGAGGTTCGTGTACTGGTCGACAATGGACCCAAGATTTCCCTAGTTAATCCTCGTGTTTTACCCGATCCAGCTGAGAATAAAAAGCTTAAGCCTGGTCCTCCACGATTCCATCTTCTGCTGATGGATCACTTATACAACTTTTACGTTCCATGACACTCGATGCCATCCTTTTACACACTTCCGTTACCCAAGTTTTAGGATTGTTACTCCATTTTAAATGGGATATAACACTAGGTATATATTTCCTCTCCCAACACGGCTGCTATATTGATGTAAAGGGGCGTACAATCCAATTAACTTCAATAAACTCGACTCACAACCTCCTCTCTTCGCTTTCGATGAAACTGCCACCAGTGCGAACATCGAGGAATCTTTTCAAGTATTCAAAATGGATTCACGTCATCCTATCTATTTCGACTGGAGACGATCTTGATCATCAGACGCTCAGATGACTGCGGATGAACTTTCAAGACAGATTCACATGGCACAAACATTCTCTCGTCCGGACGAATATGGCTCGACACACTATCGACACAGGCACGGCAAAATCTGTCTGGCAACCACCCTGGCGGATTCCCGTTCAATATCCAGATTGAGTGCGTGAATTGCTGGCCAAAATGCCCGCAGTCGGAGTAATCAGATCTGTTTCGTCCTTTGCCTTCTTCGACTCTATCCAGTAGTCACGCGTACGTCA